ATGAGTAGCTACGGTTTAAATGAAAGAACAACCAAAAAGATAATAATATCTGGATTTCTATCTGAGCCACGAGCTATTTGGCACAGAGTCAACAAGACTAAAGAGGTAAACGTGATTAAAAGATTGGTGTACGAGAAATGGATTTGAAATCATGGGACACTAACACCATTGGAAGGAGTGAGCCGTTCTGATGAGAAGGCCTCCACCTGAATTATTCTAAGACCAGAGTCCTGGCGAATCGCATAACTAGTGCTGTAGATAAGATTTTAAACTAAATAGTGTGAGGATTGCTTCAGAGATAGTAGGAACTGCAGAGTGTGAGGATTGGTTCAGTTGCATAGAAAATTAGAAATGAAAAGGTCATATAAGAAAACACAAAAGTGTTTGAAAATTTGATAATAGAACAAAGTTAAAGACTTTATATGTTAATGCGTTTGAATAAGGTAGACGAACTAATGATGCAAACAAAGCAAATGAATGTGGTCTCATAGCCATTACACAAACATTGTTACAAGGAAATCAAAATGGGAACTTAACGTTCAGCGATATTTGACATTTTCAAAAGACAGGAGGAATGGAAAAGGTGGTGGGGTAGCCCTGTTAATGAGAGATGAAGTGAGGTCAATTGTGAGAGAAAATCTAGGCTCTGATGATGTAGAGTCCATTTGGGTAAAGGTAAGAAAACAGCAAAGGAAAGAAGACATTGGTAGGAGTAATGTACAGACCCTCAAGCAGTGTCTACTCTGTAGTAGAGGCTATAAATCAACAAAAAATACAAGCATGTGAAAATAATAGAGCAATAATTATGGGTGACTTAAATCTTAATGTCAATTAGGTTAATCAAGTTAGAAAGCATAACCACAACAATGAATTCATAGAGGGCATTAGGGATAGTTTCCGAGAGCAATTTATAATGGAGCCCACAAAGGAGTAGGCTATCTTGGATCTGGTAATGGGTAATAAGACAGGTTTAATAAACGATCTTAGAGTAAAAAATCCCCTAGGAATTCAAGAGTGAGGCACTTTAGATGGAGCCAACTGTGTTTGATTTAAATAAATAGCATTACAATGAAATGAGGATAGAGTTAGCTAAAGTGAACTGAGCAGATAGATTAGCAGGAATAACAGTAAGCAAGCAGTAGCAGACATTTAAGGAAGCAATTCATGGCTTTCAGGAAAAATACATCCCAGAAAGGAGGAAAGATTCTATGACAGGGATAAAGCAACCATGGCTAATTAAGAAAGTTAATGAGAAGATAAAGTTGAAAGAAAAAGCATATAAGGAGACAAAGATCAGTGACAGCCCCAAAGATTGGGTTAAATTCAGAGTCCAGCAAAGGGGGACTGAAAAGATGATAAAGAGAGAGAGAAAATAAATTCTGAGGGCAAACTGTGAGGAATATAAAAATGACAGTAAGAGCTTCTTTAAATATATAAAAAGAAAGAAGGGAGAGGTTGAAAGGAACATATGCACCTTAGAAATGAATCTTGGGAGACAGTTTTGGGGAACAAGTAAATGGCACAGAAATTAAACAAATATTTTGCATCAGCCTTTACAGCGGAAGACATTGCGAACATCCCACTAATACTAAATAAAAAAATAGAGAAATGAAGTACCATCACTATTACTAAAGAAGTAGTATTAGAAAAACTAATGAGGCTGAGGCACAGAAGTCATCTCATCATAGATCATAGAATCCCTACAGTGTGGGAACAGGTCCTTTGGCCCAACAAGTCCACACCGACCCTCAGAGCATCCCACCCAGAACTATAACCCACCTAATGTACACATCCCTGAACTCTACGGGCAATTTAGCATGGCCAATCCACCTAGCCTACACACCTTTGGACTGTGGGAGGAAACCAGAGCACCCAGAGAAAACCCACACAGACACAGGGAGAATGTGCAAACCCACACAGACAGTCACTCGAGGGTGGAATTGAACCTGGGTTTCTGGTGCTGTGAGACAGCAGTGCTAACCACTGAGCCACCTGGCGCTGAATGGCTTACATTCTAGGATCCTGGAAGAGGTAGCTGCAGAGGTAGCTCTAGATGCATTGGTTATAATTTTTCAAAAATCATTGGATTCTGGAGAAGTATCAGAGGATTGGAAAACTGGTGTGACACAGTTGTTCAAAAAGAGAGGGAGGCAAAAAATGTGTAAATATTGGCTGATTAGCCTAACATTTATTGTTGGAAAAGTATTGGAATCAATTACAATGGGCAGTGGCTCAGTGGTTAGCACTGCTGCCTCACAGCACTATGGCCCCAGGTTGGATTACAGCCTTGGGCAACTGTGGGGAGTTTGCATGTTCTCCCTGTGTCTGTGAGAGTTTCTGCCAGGTGCCCTGGTTTCGTCTCACAGTCCAAATATGTGCAGGTTAGGTGAATTGACATGCTAAATTGCCCATAGTGTCCAGGGTTTTGGAGGTTAGATGAATTAGCCAAGGTAAATGTGGGGTTCCAGGTTGGGGTGGATCTAGGTGGGATGCTCTTCGGAGGGTCGGTGTGACTCGATGGGCCAAACGGCCTCTGTCTACACTGTAGGGGTTCTATGATTAAGGCAGTAATCACGAAACTTTGGAAAATCATAATCTAATCAAGCAGAGTCAGCATGACTTAATGAAAGGGATATCATGTCATGCTAGTTTATTAGGATTTTTGAGGAAGTCTCAACCAGAGTGGATAGAGGCAAACCAAGATGTCTTACTCTTGGACTTCCATAAGGCATTCGGCGAGGTACCTTACTAAAGGTACTAAGATAAGAGCCACGATGTTAGAGGTGGTATATTGGCATGGATGGAGAATTGGCTAAACGGCAGGAAAAAGTGAGTTGGGAAAAGGTTTAGGTAGGTTTCTACAGGAATCAGTGCTGTGATCGCAACTGTTTACAATGTATAAGAATGACTTGGAGGAAGGAGGTGAATGTGTTGTAGCCAAGTTTTCAGATGAACTAAAATGGGTGGAAAAGTAGGTTGTGAGCAGGATACAAACAATTTACACAGAGATATTGACAGATTAAGTAAGTGGACAAAAAAGTTGGCAAGTTGAGTATAATGTGGGAAAATGTGTAGCTGTTCATTTTGGCAGGCAAAACAAAACAACAGAGTACTACTTAAACAAAGGAGACTGCAGAAATCTGCAACACAAAGGGTTCTAATAAAAAAACTGAGATGACAAGGAATTTCTTCTCTCTGAGGGTTGTGAGTCTTTGGAACTCCTTGCCACAGAGAGCTATGGGGGAATATTCCTTGTGTATTATCAAGGCTGAGATAGGTCGTCATGGAATCAAGGGGTATGGGGAAAGGACATGAAAGTGGATGTGAGCAATGTTAGATCAGCTATGATCCTATTGAATGGCAGAGTAGTCTTGAGGGACAAAGGACCTACTCCTGTTCCTATTTCTTATGACCTTGCCTTCTTAGTCTCACCTCTCACCTGAGGTGTGCTGACCCTCAGTTTAAACTCAGAGGCATGTAATAACATCTCTGAACAAGTTGATCAGAAAATATCTATTCTGGGGATTGAAGGGCTCTTGTGCTGCTGTGATAGTGTCTCTACTGCTGGACAGAAGGCCCAGGTCCAAGATTAAAAATTTTTTTAAAAATCTATTGTAAAAGTTCTAGTAATTTTTCAAAGTGGAGACATCTAACAACATTCCAATTATTTTTGCAGAGCCAGATTAATTGCTCGGCCATAGTTATTTGCAGATTACTTTAAAAAATCCAACTACACGATTAATTAAAACGTAACTTCATATGCGGTGTTCCATCAACACAGTGGCCAAAAAGGAGAATTGATCTATAGTACTGCAAGATGATTGGGAGAGAGGAGTCCACAGGCAGACCATGATGAGCACTGAAAGACAAACCATAACTTTGGGGTTTCTGCATTAATCTGTGCTTTTGCTAAATAAGCAATAACAACTTGTACCTATATAGCACCTTCAAGGTAATAAATCATACCAAAGCACTTAATTCTGTAGGTACAGTCAAATTCACAGGTGTAGTGACATCAAATATTAAGAGTTCACCATCAAAAACATAATGTAACCTATATTCACCACAGCTCCACATTACCCCTTTACTAAACATTTGTCTTTAATCTCATTATACTCTGAACAAATGTAAATATCTTTAAGAACAAGCTCATCCCACAATGTATTTTTCCTTTCCTTGTGTGAAAGTCACTGGCTTCTACTGGGATGCTCCACTGGCACCAGGCACTTTCCAGAGATTTGGTATTTTACCAATTCTTGATGTGTACAATTAAACTGTAAACATTGGTCAGCTATTTTGTCATGAAAGACAAACCCTCTGAGCCCAATCCCATCCTCAGTAAATGTCCATACAAGAAACACATACACAGATTAACAGACTCTCAGCATTTGGTACAGGAATGCAAGCAGATTGAAGTGCTCATTTTCCAGCCATGTCTCAGTGCACTCTTGCTTCTGAGTCATGAGAGTTCAGGTTCAAGTCCTGCTCTAAGGTTTAAGCACAAACATCAAGGCTGACAGTCCAGTGCATTATTAAAGGAATCTTGAGTCGAAGGTACTCTTTGAGATGAGATGTTAAACTGAAGGCCCACATTCCGGCTCTGCAGGATGTAAAACATCCCATTGCATTACTTCAAAGACGAGCAGGGCAGTTATCCACTGTGCCCTAACCAATATTTATTCCTCATTCAATATTACAATAGAACAAATTATTTGGTCATTATGATGCTGCTGTTTGTGGGAGTTGTGTGCCTAATTTGGTACCTCCACTTCCTACAACAGTGAATATACTTCAAATATATTTCATTGACTGTAAAGCACTTTGAGATATCCGATGATTAAAAAGAAGTGCTGTATAAATACAATGGTTTTTTCGAAGGTAACATTTTGATTAGAGCCTTTGATTAGACTTTTTTTTATTGTGTTTACATTCTTAAAACATAAAACTATTGATGTTGAAATGAAAATATCAAAATGATAAGTAGAAATTGTGCTAATTACCTGTAAGGTTTTCTTTGCAACCATTTTTTATAAATATCACTGTGAGAAGGTAGATAATCCAGGCTCTCATGTAATGCCAGGTTTTCTCGATCATTCTGGGTCCACTTAACATTAGTTACATTGTCCCCATCATTTCTTTTTTGAACATGGTGTTTATGTGCCGCACGTCTGCATTGTTGTAACAAGGGATGCTCCTCAGGATCTTTCCATTTCCTGGTAGCCTTGAAGTGCAGTGAGGTCATTTAGCTCCAGTAGCTTTCAGACCCTCGGAAATCAACAGCTTCAAAAGTTGCAAAGGAAAGATCCTTGATAAAAAAACAAAGATCACTGAGTTTTCAGCACCACAAAGATTCTAAAAGGGAAAGATTGTGGCTTTGGTTGATCCTTGTGACAAATAGCTAACTGGAGAATGCTTCCAGTAACCTGTTTTATCCAGGTTTGTTTACTGTCAGGAGATGTTGAGCCAACAGTGATGCAACCCGACTTAAGAACGTAGATATTACTAAATACAAAAAAAAATCAATCTTGTGCCTTCTACTACCCATGGTATGAAATTTTAGTTGTTCATTAATTGTAGAATACATCTCTAACAATTATTCTACAGCTGACCCAAATATGATAATTTATAATGTAGGATTATCCCACTGTTTCAACTCACTATTAAGCTTTGAATACATTGTAACATCTGATTTGTTTTACTCACTACCACTCAGTATTGCTGCAATAACTTATTACCAAGCAGGATCCCCAGATTTCTTTCGTTTCCATGCACTCTATTTACTGTCCGTTTAATATTCACCTCATTATATTGTTAGGTAGCTGTCAACAACACCTAAAATCACCACTCCAATATTGGCTGAACATCTTCCTGGATTCTTTGATGCACAGGACACTCATCCCTGAAATATTCTCCTTCCTGGCAGCAACAGGGTGACAGGAATTGTTTGGGTGGTTCAAAAAGCACAAAAGAACTCAGGAAAATGATTTCAAAGATGGAATTTGAATGGAAATAATTTTCACCTAGGTCTTCTTCAAAAAAATCCTTGACTTATACACCACTAATATACTGGAAACAATGAGGAAATTGAGCCTTTTTATATTCATTAAGATACGTGGAAGTGCTTTATGCAGTGCTGGTGGGCAGGGTCATTTGTGCTGCTAGTTACCTACATGTACATTTAAGAAAATGATTATTGAAACAGCAAGATTCAAAATGGTAGAGCGGGTGTCAAATCAATGTTATAGGCTACTTGAAATCATAACCTGCGCACTCTGCATTCTGAATCACACGTAGGATACATATATCATTGCCTTCCACAACATACATTTGGCATCAATTAACTGAAAAGTGGACCGGAGTGGTGATCCTAGCTGTTTCTTTCATGTCGTACCAATTTTAGTTCCTGCAGAACTTTATCATCTGTTATTTATTTGTCATTTGTGGGAATTATGAGCAAATTGGATTTCCTACATTACAGCAGTGACTGCATTTCATTATATTTCATTAGTTGTAAAACAATCTGAGATGTCCAGAGATTGACAATGCATTATATAAATTAGTTTATTTTTATGACTTGGAAGCTTTCATTTCTCAACAGTTTCTGTGTCATACAGCATTGAGCCACCCAAATAGACTTTTTGATTGTTAATTCATAACACATGTTATGCAAAATCCATATACCCAAAAGAGTGAGGAGGGTTTTATCCCATCAAGTTCAGCTAGATGCAAACTTAGTTTTAAAAGTTTGCAAGAAAATATGCTAACCTACTGATCTTGGTGTGAATTCTTTTTCATTCATCCCACTTCCAGTTGTCAAGGAGTGCTAACCCTAATATTATGCAACCCAACCAGATGCAATGCAAGGAAACAATCATACTTCATTGTTCAAACAGTGTTAAGGTGCAAAATGAGTCCAGCAATCCTTAAATGTTCAACACCAAATTACAGGAAGAAATTTTAAATAATTTTTGCTATTGCAAAGTAAAGTTGTATCTGGAGTGTTTTTGGAAGTGTTGCAGTGGATTTCTGAATGTGGAAGCATTGTTACATCTCATAAAAAGAAACATGGAAATAGGAGTAGGCCACTTAATTTACATCCAGCATCAATTGCCATTTGCCAGACTGTTCTTAACTTCTGCTACCCTTTGTGTATAGAACTTCCTAATTTCACTTCAGGCCAAGTCCAATTCTAATCTTTTTTCAACATACCCCAATCCCAGACTCCCCAACCAATATAGTTTCTCACTATCTACTCCATCTGCTTCATTTAACATCTTTAAAACTTTGAGAAAATTGCCCCCTAACATTTCCAAATAGCCTGAAACACAATCCTAATTTATGTAATCTTCCTTCGTCCAGGTCATCTACAGCAAAAAAAAAGCAATCTTGCTGCTGGTAGGCTGGCAAATGATCAATCCCTTTCCTCCTAGCCTAGCTGCAACCAACTTATGCAACCAACATATCAATATGAGTTGGGAAAATTGATGGAATTGAAGGCAGGTAAAATTCCCCGGGCCTAATAATCTACACTTTAGAGTACTTAAGGAAGTGTCTCTAAAAATAGTAGACACTTTGGTGGTTAATTTTCAAGAGTGTATAGTCTCTGGGAAGTTTCAATGGATTGGAGGGTTGCTAATGTAACTTCAGTATTTGAAAAAAAGGAGGTAGAGAGAAAACAGGGAATTATAGGCTGCTTAGTCTGACATTAGTGGTGAGGGAAATACAGAGTCCATGAGGAAAGATTTAATAGCAGAACACCTGGAAAACAGTGACGGGATCGGACAGACTAAGCATGAATCTACAAAAGGGAAATCATGCTTGACAAATCTACTGGACGTTTTTGAGGATGTATCTAATAGAGTTGATAAGGAAGGACCAGTGGAAGTGGTTTACTTGGGCACTCATAAAGCTTTTGATAAAGTGCCACATAAGAGATTAGCATACAAAATTAAAGTGAATGGGATTGGAGGTAATTATTGACATGGATAGAGAACTGGTTTGCAGACTGGAAACAAAGAGCAGGAATAAATGGGTCTTCCTACATGGCAGCTGGTATCTAGTGGAATAGCCTAGGGATCAGTGCTTGGACCCCAGCTATTCACAATATATATTAATGATTTAAATCAGGAAAGTAAATGTAATATCTCCAAGCTTGCAGATGACTCCAAGCTGGCTGGGAGGGTGAATTGTGAAAAATATGCAGATATGCTTTGTTGTGATGCAGACAAGTTGAGGGAGTGGATGAATACAAAGCAGATTTGAGGTATAATGTGGTGAGGTTATCAACTTTAGTAGCAAAAACAGGAAGGCAGATTATTAACAGAATGATGATATATTGGGAAAGGAGGAGATAAAAAGAGAGTTATGTGTCCTTTTATACACTGCTTGCTGAAAGTAAGCATGCATGCATAGCAGGTGGTGAAAAAGGTAAATGGTATGTTGGCCTTCATAGTGAAAGGATTAGAGTATTGGAGCCTCGGTAAGACCACATGTGTAATATTGGATGAACAACTATGTTAATATTGAATGACGGAGCAGGTTCAAAGGGCCAGTAGCATACTCCCATTCCTATTTTCTATGTTTGTATCCCAACTCTATATTAGCCTTCATAGTACATGCAATGTGCGCACCCGAGCTTATGATTGCAAGGAAAAAAATCATTAACGACGTTATTGTTCTCTCTCCCTCCTTGGGTGAGCTGCAGCAGGTAGCTAGCAGCTCTTAAAATGGGAAATGTGAAGGAGAGGTTTGGGGTGAAGGTATTTGGATAGAGTGGGAAACAAGAGGTCTGTGGTCATACCGGATAGCAGCATGAGGTTGTGCCCTGGCTTAAAAAGTTGCATAAGACAGGAATATAGGATCACCCTAATTGTCCTCAGCAATGTTGGATACCACAAACTCTGTCATAGATGGTGCTATGTTGCTGAGAGTCTTCTATTCTGCAGGAGTTGCGGATATTCTTGTCCTCTACCAAGTATGCTCTGCACCCTATAATTGCCACCTAGTCCTGCAAGAGGAAGGACAGAAAACAAGTGATTAAGAGGTGCTATATTTAGAGGATGGCAATTAAATATCCAGAGGTAAGTGAAGACAGCAAGAGGTAGATGGTAGTCCAGCAGCATTGGTAGATTTATGTCTGTGGGGTAGAGTATTAAGTGCCAGAGAATGCTGATGGGTGAGTGATGGTGGTGTGGGGCACTGAACATGAGAGATTACTGGCGTTCTTGGTAAGAGATTTAATCTGAAGATGTATTTGCTGATCTTGACTACACTGCATGGTTATTACTTTATAACTTATAAAGTGCCAAATGTTAATAACAAGTGGAACTTCAGCCTTTTGACTGCCAATTTCACTTAGAATGGGAAGACATCCCAGATTCAGATTTCAGCTTCTAACATCCTAAGAGCATCAAAGCTCATCTGATCTCACTTCAAAACTTTGACTACATATAGAATAGTCACTGTAGTTAGGGAGCAATTCATTGTGACAAGCTGTTCAAGGCATTATTGAGGAGATGACACTCAACCTCACAGCATACCAAACATCCTGAGTAAATGACAATGTAGTACCTCAAAGAACCATGGGAAAACAAACTTGTGGAAAAACATCATCTTGTGGCATGGCCATCAGACTTTCAGGTCCAGACTCCAGGAATTGACTTTCCTGGCTACCTAACCCACTTACTGTCAGCCTTGTGGGTCACCTAGTTCCCTGTGGAACTGTAGTGTCTCTTATCCTACCAATCCTACCACAATAACATAACTCATCAGTTATCTTTAGGAGCGTGCCAATGATTGTTGTCTGTCTGCAAAATAAGGTGCTACATAAATGCACCTTATCAGACTAACATTCACATTCTTCACTTTACTCTGCACACTCTAAGTGCCACACCCATGAGTTTAATTTTACTACACCTGTGTTGAATTCAGTTTTTTTCTGATTGTGTTGCTGTGCAGTTTGTCATAACATCCTGCAGGAAACACACCGCATACTTCCCTCCCTTAAGAGATGAGAAATGCTGAAATCTATGCTGTACTTCTCTGCTGCCATTGATGTTGAGACAGCTATGGTTATCTTCAAGTCAGTTCTGAGGAAGGGTCTGAAGGAACATTAACTCTGATTTCTCTCCACAGATGCTGCTAGACCTGCTGAGCTTTTAATGCAATTTTTTTTTATATTCAAATCAGCAGTATTGTGCACCCATGACCAGCATCCTATCATACAGAGTGAGCAGGCATGTG